TTGGTAAATTTGGGGTTTTTATTCAAGACTTCACAATAGGTGATTCAAATGAGTGAAAACTTTGAAGATTGGAGATCTTGCAAAGGAGTAGCACGAGAGGATGAATCGTATCTGAAGTTCTTGTGGTTAATAGTCGCAATTGGATACACTCGAGTGGAGGTTTTGTATATTTGGGATCTCGCAAAGGAGTAGCTTAAGTGGTGAATAAATTGGACCTATTGTGTCTTGGTCTTGCTTAAGATCAAAAGAAGAGAAAGGGTTGAATCAACATTAAACGGTTAGGGTTTGTAGGGTTACTCTTGAACACTTCTCTTGTAATCATTTTTTTTGTTATTACTCTGTAAGATATAGTTCTTCGCCTACACCAAAACATTTGAACAGAGTCCAACATATACTTTGTTATCTTAAGGGTAAATGGACATGAGTTTGTTTTATACAAAGTATCCAAATTTGAATTAACAGGTTACGCAGATTCAAGTTACTGGTCAGATCCTCAAAATGGTATATCACAAACAAGTTATTTGTTTACATGTGGTGGTACATCTATTTCATGGAGATCAGTGAAACAAATAATAGCCGTAACTTCATCTAATCATGCAGAACTTTTAGCACTACTTGAGGCAAGTCGAGTATGCGTTTGGTTGAGATCCTTAATCCAACGCATACAAAATACTTGTGGTTTGTCTTATGGAAAACAAATACAACGACCATATATGAAGATAATAGTTCATGCATCACTCAATTGAAAGATGGTTACATTAAAGGAGATCGAACAAAACACCTCTCAAAAGTTCTTTTTCACTCATTTTATTCAGAAGAGTGGTGATATAAACATCCAATGAATCTGTTCATGTGATAATGTTGCAGACTTTTTCACAAAGTCACTCCCAAGTAGAACTTTTAATCAACTAGTACAAAAGATTGGTCTTCATTATCGAAGAAAGGATCGCTCAGTTGAGGAGGAGAAATGAATTTATTTTAAAAGGATATTGTACTCTTTTTCCTTCACTAGATTTTTCCCACTGTGTTTTTTCTAATAAGGTTTTAATGAGACATATCCAAAACAAACATCTAAGGGGGAGTGTTATGAATAATTGGATGATTGTCTCCCAATGATTTTATTCCTTATTTATAATAATTTGTATTTTTTTAACAAAGCAAAACTATATTTTCTCATTCATAATCAAAAGTTCAATACAAAGAGGAATTATATGAATAACATTACATCTAGCCCAAGAATTGGCCGCCTTCGCTAACGAGTGGGCAACCATATTCGCTTGGCGTTTAACAAACTTCACCTCAAAGTTGAGAAACTTGTTTAGTAACAATTTAATATCGCTTATTATAGAATAAAACTCAGAGATTCCTACATAAACTGAATGAAAAGCTTGTACCACCCTAAGAGTCACTTTCAAATATAATCTGATCAAGATTTAAAGAAGTAACACTTTGAATAGCTTCCTTCAGGGCTAAAGCTTCCGCTTCAAGAATCGTTAGGCTACCTGGATCCCACGCCACCCCTCCTGTGATAAAGTTACCGAACTCCACCCATTAGGAGGTGGATTCCAATGAAGAATTTGTTGTTGCTCATTATTATTATCCTAGACTTGTCGCACCGAAAACCATTCCCTCCATTTATGATAAGCAAGCCAACCAATTTTAGAACCACCTTCATGTTCATCATTCTAAACAAGATCATTGCTATTTTTCCACGTAGCCTCCACCGCCATTGTAATAATTTTTATATTTATTACATTGTATGTATGTTGTTTTATAATTCATTGTAGAAAGACACCAATGAAATAATATATCATTATTTTTATCTTTCTCTCTTCTTTTTTATCTTCTTTCTACTTATTTTATAACATTTACTATTTTATTTATTTATTAATAATTTAATTTTGAGGTACTTAAATTAATTGAACTAATTAAATTATAATTCACAATATCAGATATTATTATTTGAGCTACTCAAATTAAGGATCTCTTTATTTCTCAAAAGAGATGAATGTATCTATTATTGTAGTTTTTAAATAGTTCAATTATAATTTCGGTCTCTACGTTATATTCTATTTACGAAATCCGTCTTTCTATTTAAATTTTAAACAATTTTAGTCTCTCTTTCTCATTTTTTGTCAGAAAAGTGCTGATGTGTAATGTTTTTTTATACTTAACTTATGTTCGGTTACATGGAGAACATTATTTGATCAATTCTATTTTACATGTCATTTTTTTAAATTTATTATATTTATTGAAGTAAATTAAAATAGTTTATAAATTTATAAATTTTAAGTTAAAATTTTGAAATTAAATTCTAAAATCAAAAATTGAAATTGAAGTGTAATTGAATAATAATTAATATCTAATAAATAATCATTTACACTTAATAATGAAATTGAAATTGAAGGGATTCTAGTTGAATTAAAGAAAAATAAAAATCCCAAATTTGACTTTTACTGTAGCTGCTGCTCCATCTCTAGAAATTGTTGTTACTTCATCTGTATGAAATTTCCGAATATCTTTTCTATCTTTAATATCTTTATGAATTTCTGTCAGCGTAAAATTGTGATAAATCATTTAAATTTAAATTCAACAATTCTTTTATATCCATTAGTCAAAAGATGAAAAGGATATTGAAGAAAGAATCCAAGTTTAACTCCTTTAAACTGTATCTTCATGAAATTAGGCAAAACCATCAAATGATAGTCATTAATCCGAACAAAATTATCATCAGAATTAATCACTTCCATGACTTTGATTCACAGAAAATCAGAATTAATCACTTCTATGACTTTGATTCTGATTCCCAAAAAGATAAACCTCCCAAAACACACAATAGAATCAATGATTAATTCGATTGGTAGGGAGAAATAGTCCAACCTAACAGATCTAGTATTTGCATGAAGAACCAAACAACACCACTAACTTTGATTTTTCAGTACCACCAAAGATGAACGATGAATAACAAGGAGAGAAGATGACGATTTATAAGGAAAATATAAATGATAGAAGATGATTAATAATTTAACAGATAAAATGAAAAAGAAGATTAAAGATCAAATTTGGAGGAAAAAATAGATCTAAAATTCAAATTGGGAATTAGAGCTTTATAGAAAAAACACTATTTATTTATTTTTTAAGAATCTGAAATTGATGCTAAATCCAATAGAAAGTAGCTGGGAATCCAAAATTGAAGCAATTAAACACTACAAAGTGATGATGGTGAAGAATATCTCCGAAAGAAGACGATGAATATGAATCATTTTACAGTTTTATTAACTTTATTGTTTTGTATTTTTTAATTTATTATTTTTTAAAATAAATTTAGGTTAATTAAATAAATATAAAAAAATATGAGTTACATGTAAACTAAATAATTATAAAAAAAAAGATATATAATCAAAATTTTGACCAAAAATTAAATAATAATTAAAACTGTTTAAAAATAAAATAAACGAATAATTTCGTAAATTGTTTAAAATTAAAGGACAAAAATTATAATTTAACCTTTTTAAATTGATAAGAACATATATCTATAAAAATAGTGACATTAGTCTCTTACCAAAATTATAGTAATAGAAATCATTTTTTTGATAAATAAAAAAAGATATTTGCTATTCATTAGGATCGGTTGGTTTTAGATTTTTTTTAAAAATGTTATTTATAATGTTATATATTTTTATTTAAAAAACTTTATAAGAATTTTTTAAATAAAAAATTAGTTTTAATAATTAATTTTTGAATGTTCTTTTAGGTATTTCACTATTTTTTTAATATCAAAATTTAAAAAGAAATTATTTAATTTTAAAACTATTTCAAATAAATTTTTATAAAAGTTATTTTTGAAATATAATTTTTTTTAAATTTACAATTTCAACCATGTTTTAATACGATGTCAAAATTAATTTTTTAATTTATAAAAAATAAATTAAAAAAAAACTATTCTTAATTTAAGAAAACGTTTTCATAAAAATAATTAAAAAAAATTAACAGAGCCGTCGATTAAAACCCTTGTTATGTTTTAAAATAAATAGAGGAAAAACATATGATTATTGATGGAATGAATGAACCGAGAACTACGGTATAGGCTAGCATTGGGGAAAATGTATGGCTTTGGAAGGCACAGAACACAGACACACAAACCACAATAATCCTCCTCCTCCCTCTAATTGTCATTGCAAAATTCAATCTTAAACAAAATGCCATTTCTTTACTTCCCACGTTCCATCCTCTTTCTGGCCCCTCCACTTCCCTCCACTGCCTGGCCAGTTCCTCCCTTTCCACCATTACTCACACCTCTTCTTATATGTCCTAACATATCAGGTATTTATCATTACAATATGCAAATTACTCAATCAAATTATAATACTACTACTTGATATTTGCCAATTAGTTAATAGAATGTCGTGGATTCAAACTTGTACCGTACACCTTTGTAATCAAATATATCTGCACGTTAACTTTTCTTACAAAAACAAATAAGACATAATATGTCTTAATTGTCTTGTATGTAAATATAATATACCTTATTTGTCTTGTATGTAAAGTTGGTGCACTAGAAAAAGCAAATAACTATGCGCTAGGCAGAGAGCAGGAACACCAACCGGCCAACCCCACTTCTCACCTAACTTTTCAATTCTTCTTTTGCATCACTATAACTTCTTTGCACCATAAAGTTAAACAAAAAAAAAAGCTTTTTATTCATTAGTATTCTGTTATGTTTGTCCTTGTTTAACTTCAGGTTCATTTGGCCTTCAATTATAGATTGGCATCACTTTTGGTTACTCTCTCTCTAGTAATTGTTATTGACAAAATCAGCAGAAAGCACACTAGGAATGATGGGAAGGTTGAACTTGTTGGAGGGCATAAATTGAGTGCAATCATAGGTGAGACCCATTTCTTTCAAAAATGTATTTTTTATTTTTTTTTGTAAATTTCTTTTCTGATATCTGTTAAATAAAAATATGGATTGAAAGATTCTTGTCTTTGAATGCATCCTTATGAGATTGAGAAAGCGGAAACCATGTTTTCCTTCTTGCTCATCTCGTCACAAAGTAAATTCAATCTTGTTTTCTCATTAACTCCATGTGTCTGAAAATTCTCTTTATTAGAAGTCTTGAAGCGAACTAACAGATAATCATATCCAGGGTTTAAATAGAGGTCGTGGTAATTGTTGTGGTCGCATCACGCAGATAATTTTAGTTTTGACAATAAAAACCGCTTTGTTGTGGCTCAGATTGCGATCATGACCATTATTTAATACCCTGATCATATTCAGTTTTGACTTGTATATTTGCATTTCGTTTTTCCATAAGTTCTAGTCAGTGATTTGTGTATCTCATTTGATTAAGGATGCTTTCAAAAATGAAAAGCAGGTCGATGAGGATGAGATTTATTGGAGACACAGAAAGGAAGATGAAGAGTTGGAATGGTCTCATCATTCCACTCACTTAATTACTCAGTTGACTCAATGTTTTTGTGAGTACATTTTCTCTCTTCATCTCTGTCTTCTGTTTTTCAATGAGAATGTGAAGAGTTCTTGCACATTGTAAGAAATTGCAAGAAGTTTCAATCAAGTACTTATATCAACATATTGGAATGCTTTATGTGCCAAAGTCTCTAAACATTGACTTAACCATCACTCAAGTTTGATGACACTGTCCTATATAATCTTATTTATCCTCTACATTTTCTTCCTTTTCTGATCCAATTTTATTTTGTGTGTAGCTACTGCTATGGTTGGATCACGAGCATGGATAGGAGGACTCTTTCACCGCACAAATACTAAACAAAATGATAAATTTATTGACTATCCTTTGACTCCTCTTGAGGTAAAGGGAAAATGGAACTTACTGGTTTGTTGAATTTTCTTTCTAATTTTTTCTCTGTTTTTTTAAAAAATTTGTTGATTTAGAAGTATCAACAACTTGTTTACATTATGAAAAATACATAGAAATGCTTTTGCAAAATTTGTTGATTTAGAAGTATCAACAACTTGTTTACATTATGGAAAATACATAGAAATGCTTTGACGAGGGATTGAACCCTGGACCAATAGATTATATCCGTCTACCTCAAACCAGTTGAGCTTGTTTTCATGTTTATTGATGGGAACTCAGAACCTGCAATTCTGTGTCTTAATAACTTTCTTATTTCTCTAGAGTCAGCGAGCATAACTTGTTTTTCCCGTTTCTATCAGGAGGAAAGACTTCAACGGCTTCAAGAACGGTTGCAAGTTTCTTATGATGAAACTTGCCATGATCATCAAGTACTTTCTTTTTCCATGAAGCTATCTTTCATTGTTCTTTATTTATTTTGTCGAATGAAGCACTAACATGATACAGGTATCGGATACGATACCTTAGTCATTGAAAAATATAGGATAAAATACTTTAAAAAAAACAAGTAATTGGAAAAATTGAATTTGCAAAATTTAATAATGGTGAAGAAATTATGAAAAAAAAGAAACCAATCATGAAAAATGGTAAAATGGTAATCGTGAGAGAATATTAAATGAATGTATCACAGATTACATAGGAGAGAGAAGAGGTGATTAAAGTTGAGACAATAGTAATTAGGGAGAGAAAAGTTTGATTGTTGTTACTAAAAAATGAGAAGTCACAAGGAAATTAAAATTGAGAGATTAAGGAGGTAGAAAGTATGATTCATCTTCTAAAATAATGAATAGTCATGAGATAAACTGGCAGTATCTGTGGCATATCGGAGACATGTCGACGACGTATTGCAGCGAGTCACTGCCATATCAGGACGTATCCGAATTTTTTTATTTATTTACTAAAACAATTCAGATACTCCTTCGATACGTATCGGAGCATATCAGTACATATCAAATACGATTTGGCAGAGATTTTAGAGTATCCATGCTTCATTGATTTTGTCAATTAATTCAAAATACAAGTTATAAATTACAGGTCAATAAAAAAGAGAACTTAATTCAAAATACAAGTTTCATTTGAATTGTTATATTTATACAACCTCTGTTGACAAAAATTTCATGAACATTCAACAGGAATCACTGAGAGCTCTGTGGCAATGTGCCTTTCCTAATGTTTCTCTGAAAGGCTTAATATCTGACCAATGGAAAGATATGGGATGGCAAGGTGCTAATCCATCAACAGACTTTAGGTATACCACTATGTTCGTAACATATGAGACCTCACATCAACTTTTAGTCACCTGTTTCTTATTTGAATGAATCTGCAGCAAAATATCGTGAAATCAGGGTTGTCAATCAAGGATCCCGGAAGATAGTAGTTTGTAAAAATTCCTATATGTCACATTGCTATAATGTTGCTGTAACTGTTATTTGAAAACACTTTGAACGAAATCATGCATTATTGAACAATAGTGGTTTGTCAATTGTCACTATATTGTAGCACAATAGCGCTGTTATAGCCGCTATTTGACTACACTGAAATCAGCGCCAATGTATTTTTGCAGTAGCTGACATTTCTTAACTTTTTCCCTCATATTTAACGATTTTGTAACTTATGAAGGCCTAATTAGACCTAACCATTTTAGTACTCGTAAACATGATATTCAGATATCAATCTTATTTGCTAATAACAAATTATTAGATTCTGGACATGGACTTTTTCCTTTACTGCTTGTGATGTTTACACGAAAGACCAGGACTAAAGATTGAGGGTATCAATGCACAGATTCTGTCAATATCTTTCTCAGAAATTTCAAAATCTTTAATATTGTAGCTTGATAGTTTCATATCACTGATTATGCTTCATAAAATCATTATATGGAAGCACTTGTTTATAACTCAGAAACCTTTGAGCGATATTATGCTTCATATTTGCATTAACTCAAAAGTTTCTATTCAGAGGCAGTATGTCTAATTACCTGATTTCTTCAGGGGATGTGGCATCATTGCCCTTGAAAATCTGCTGTTTTTCGCAAGGAAATATCCGGTATGCATTTTTGTTTTCAGCTATTCTGCACATCTATTTGAAAGAACTTGACAAATCTGTCTATGTGCTTTCTCATTTTAGTTTATCTTGACCTTTATATTGGCAGAAAAGACGAGTTATTACTAATTTTATGGATATTCAAATGAAGGCATCTTTTCACAGGTTGTTGTTGAAGAAAGATGGAGACCGAGCTACATGGGAATATCCATTTGCTGCTGCTGGCATCAATATATCATTTATGTTGATACAAATGTTGGATTTATACTCAGGTTTGTGTATAATAAGATTATAGAACTAAAAGAATAGTATGATATCATATTCTAATCAGAAATGTGAAATTTTCTATTTATCATAAATGATAAAAGCAAATTACATTTTCTAATCATTTTTCCACGGAATGTTTTAGAAGGAAAGCCTCGGTGTCTTCCAGGCATGAATTTTGTCAAGTTATTAGGAGGTAAGCATGGTGCATCTTAATATGTCCATATCATGGAATCACTATCATGTATCTGATCATTCTAGTCTCTTTTTGATGTTTTGGTCCTTTAAATGCTTACAAGTTTCATTGCATGGTACCACAGATGATGAAGAAGCATTCGATATTCTATACTGTATAGCTTTTGAGATGATGGATGCACAATGGCTGGCCATGCATGCTTCTTACATGAATTTTAACGTATTCTTTCTTCTTCCTACATGATCTTTACAATTAATCCAAATGCTTTTAAATAATGTGCTCAATAGTTTGCATTCTTCTTTAAATTGTCCTCCTATTGTTTTCGTTTAATGCACTTCGATTTATTGACCTAAAATTATTCAATGGCTTAAGGAGGTTCTACAAGCAACAAGGATGCAATTGGAGAGAGAGCTATCCTTAGAAGACATCAATAAAATACAAGACTTGCCTGCTTACAATCTGTTGTACCAATAGCTTTAATCTTTCTCTTCTATTCATACACAACAAATTCCAATTGGCACAACTTTGGCAATTCCACTACAACGTCTATCCTCATTGTACTGCATGGATTCACTCCTCTACTCCAAGGATTTGTATGAGTCGCTTTTGAAGTTGTATATAGCTCACATTTGGTAAATGAGCTTCTGACATTGAAAGTGATTTCGAGATACAAATGCATTTTGAAGTGGCAGTTGGAATTTTGATAATCCTGAGCAACGACGATTGGTTATTTGATGAGAAGAGAAGTGAGAACCAGTATAAACCGAGTCCAATAGAAAATTGGAAAAAGAAAATTGAAGATATAATATTGGTGAGATTTGAAGGAGCATATGCAATGCAAAAGTTAATCCACTTATGCACACCTCTTTTGCTTTGCCCTGTATTTTTGAGGTTATGTTATTACCAACTCTTATTGCTGCATAATCATGCCATATTTCTTCATTCAGTCAACAATTATGAGATTAGTTGATTAAGTTTGATTATAACTTGTATTTAAATGTGTTATGGTATAGGATTAGATAGATTATTATTACAATGGTTTTGAATCTGTTAGTTATAGGTAGTTTATTTTATTATTATTATTAATATTAAATGTTGTTTACATAGTAGTAACTGCTATGTAACTGTTTTAGGTATTAAAAAATATAAATATAAGGTGAAAGGAAAAGGGAGGGGATTCGGTATTTTGTATGTTGGTTGGTTTGGAAGAAACTTGTCTCTCTAATTCTCAGAGGTTGGTTTATTTGTCAATTGTTGGTGGTAAACTATTTGTATTACTAATAACTGTTTTGCCGGAAGTTACATCCGCATGCTTTGTTCTTATGTTCTAAAGTTTCTATTCTTATCATTTATTCACATGTTCATCATATCCCAAATATCTATGAATGATACAATACCAGTTCTCTAGTATATTGTCCTAAAATAAACACGAGAATTTCTTTATTCAGTGGTGAAAAACACCTATAAAAATTCAAAAATACACTTCGGATATGAATATTTGAACGCACTCAATATTTAGTTTCAGTGGTTTTCGAATATGCATATTCAAAGTATTTCAACATTTCATTTTCTGATATATTTTATAACAAAATAAAATGTAACTAAATAATCTCGGTGTTCTAGATCTTGTGATTATGCGTTTTTGGCCTTTACGCGACCTAACGTAAAAAACTTTGTTATCTGGAAAATCGACTCTGAATTAAAATTTTACTGTGTCAATTTATCCGGAAAAAATTAGGGATAAAAATCCCCTATTTTGAGACAAAATAGGGGACCTCACCCTAAAAACTCTAAATTCTTTGTTTTTCTTTGATTTATTATCCGTTATCATATTTTCAAAAAAGTTTGAAAAAATTTTAGACCCTTAATTTTATTTTATTTGATTTTTAGTTGTATTTTTAATTTTTTATAACAAAATAAAATTCGAAAATGCATATCCGAAATCACTTTTTTTTGTAAAATAAGGTTTATACGGAGATGCATATCCAAAAATATCTTTTTCATAAATTTTTGTGGAATGAGGATCCATTCGGAGATGCATGTCTGAAGTCTAGGGGTATTTTTGGTTTTTTGTCAAGAACCTCTAAGAAAACATAGGGGTAGATAAAGAAATTCTCATAAACAATCACTATGTAATGACATAAGCTAAAGTTTTATAAGCCAAAGTTTACAGGTCCATGAGAATTAATAGTGGGGGATTTCTTAACCCACCCTATAGTTTTCTAGCGCACCACACGAAAATACAAAAATATCTCTGAAAATCAGAAATGTATTTTCGGTACGTATTTATACCTGAATTTGGTGGACGAGACCCTATGTAATAGTTGAAGACTAACTGTAAAAACGACATCGGGTGGAACAATAATTGTATTCCCGAAAGCACCCCAAAATATCTATTGTCTGCATATTGTTTATGCTACTGTCTGTATAGGAACTAAAAATACATTTACGGTTCCATTCCGTAATTGCATTTCTGGTTTTAACTAGTGTTCAACAAAAAAAATGTGCGTCTCAAAAATACATTTTCGATTATACAAGGGCATTTTCGAAATTGCATAGAGTATTTTTCAATCCTATGGGATGGAGTAAAAAATTCCCTTAATAGTGATGAGTCACTACCATTTAGAAGGATCTAGATATGAAATAATTAGTTAATTTCAATGTTATAAATAGGTGTTTGGTGAATGTAATTATTATCAAAACAAATAAACGAAAAAGTTAATTTTAGATTTGTTAACATCTTTTTAGTATAGTTTCTCTTTAATTTTTTTAGTATAAAAAATATGTTCATAACAAATAGTGCTTCCATTGCCATGAATTCCCCTCCCTACAATTAATATCACCACTACCATGATCCTACAACTATCAACACTCATACTTTATTGAAACCACAAACCTATCAATATCTCATTCTCACTAACAACAAATATTTCCACCCACAATTAACACACAAACCAACAAGTGACTACAAAATAGTCACAACCTCCATGTCATCACCTCAAAATCTCTCTTCTTACGCTAAATACATTCTTCAACAAATCTTGGATTCTCTCAAGAGATTTGCCTCCAAACAATGTCTAATTGTGTTAACACACTTTCTTCCATTAAGATTGACCTATTCTCTTTAAATCACCAACAACAACCTCTTGAAATTTCCACTGCTCAACTTCATCCTCACCATTCCAAAATAGAATTCCAGAGGGAGCTCCCACATAGAGTTATTGCTCTACCACAAATCTTTCACGATTGTGTGGCTGAATCCAAGTCTGTTGAAAACAACCACAACAGTGTCATAGGGATTTTTCGAACAATACACAGTTATGAAGAAGTCACAAAACATAGAAATTTTAAACGTTGTAATTACATCTACAATTGCCGATGAAAGCAATTTTTCTGTTCTACAAATGATGAGAAATCAAAGGCGCACACAGTAGAAGAAAATCAACAAACTGAACTTACAAATCTGTTTCCAACCAATCATTTTCTTCTTCATTCCAATTCAAATTTCTTTTCCTCTCTACTTGTCGTTCCAGGGAAATTGTATTCATCAGTTACTATGCCACAGTATGTCCCACAGTATTCGATCACCAATGCAAGAAGCGATGACGACAATAACACTTTGCACCAGAGCGATGAAAATACAGGTGGATTGTTCAAGGCAACATACATCGTAGCCATGGAGGAAACACCATCTATTCCACCTCCTTCAAAATTGACCCTATTAATCTTCGATATAAAGTAAAATTCCTTCAAATCCTACTACACCGCCTTTATTTCTTTTGAAATCGGCACTGATTAGCTCAATTTGCATTCTCTGACACCGATTTCAGGTGACCGTCGAAAAACACCGCCCCTTTTGACGGTGCCATGGGATAGAGGAAAGAAAATAGGTCTAAGCTTGTGGGGACGGTACCAGGTGGGTCTTCTATTGGGCTTAAATTTTTTCTTTTAATTAGTATTTTGCATAATAAATAAAAAGATATTTAGTAGTTTGAGTTTTGATAAGTTGCAACATATTATTATTAGTATTTTTGGAATATACCCTGAGGACAAGGTGTTAGTGCAAGAATGGAGGGATGTTTATAGGTTAAATATAGATAACATCAAATTCAATAATTTGTTATAGAAGAATTGAAGTGGAAGTGGGCCCGATTGATGTGAGCTTTGTTCTTAATTAGATATTCTGGATCATCCACCACTATAATTTTTTTTATCAATTGAACTTGATTTTTAAGTGCACTTTGAGGACAAGATGTATTTCCAAGATTGGATAATTTTAATGATATAAGCCCGGTTTTATAATCCCATGAAGATTAGTAGTGATGAGTCACTATCCATTAGAAGGATCTAGATATGAAATAATTAGTTGATTTCAATGTTATAAATATTTAGAAGGATCTAGATATGAAATAATTAGTTGATTTCAATGTTATAAATATGTGTTTAGTGAATGTAATTATTATTTTTGATGTACACTAAAAAGATGCTAACAAATCTTAAACTAACTTTTTCATTCATTTGTTTTAATAATACTTAGTAGATTTTATCCCTTTTTTCTTCCTTTTGGAACCTCAAAGTCATTGTGGTGTTTGGGCCTTCCACAATTTCTTTTCAGTCAAAGGTGAGTGTTGTACCCTAAAATTTTCCCTCCTATTATTTAAGACAATTTGATTCAAGATACCTCCTCATGCTTCTAGGATTCTCAAGCACTCAAGACTACTCAAAGATTGATCAGACAAACCCTCCTCCTAAGCATTGACCTATAACTAGGATTTTGTTTTTCTCAAGGAAAATTTGACTTCTAATATCTCAAGTGAATTTCATGGTTTCTCATATACTTCAAATTATCCTCATTTCCAAATTTCAAGCCTTGCAGCACAAGTTTGCTCAGTCAATTAGCCAGATGATTGAAAATCAACTATATTATATAAAAAGTCAACTTTGATCAATTTACAGTCAAACTTAAAGATTTTTGGTCAATATCAATATTTTAAAGTCACATTCATCATTTGATCAATGGTTGATCATGATTCATCAAGAAAACTCAAGATTCATCAAAAGTCAAAAGTTACTAAATTAGGGTTTTCTTTAAGAAAAGTCAATTGAACTTTGACCAAGCATAACTTTCACATAATTCATCAGAATTTTTTTTACCAAGGGTTGTCTCTCTAAGATCAAGGCCAAAAATGCTTCATTTGAGAGATATGGGATAAAATATTACAGGTCATTTTAAAAGTAAACAAAAAGACACTTTTTGTCAAAGCACTTTACATCAAGATAAATGCTTCAAATGAATAAATGACCAACATGAAGATTTTAGGGGATATCTTGAGATTTCCAAAAAGTCCAATATCACCTTCATATAACAAAAATTGAGCGAGTTATGATTGGTCCCTACAAACAAAATGATCTAGTCCCTACAAACAAAATGATGATAGTCCCTTCGACGCAATTGCTAAAGTATCCTTACATGTTACCTTTGATGACCATACGATGATCCTACGCATGTCCCTTCACATCCAATAGATAGGGCTACCTACCAATAATGGTATGGATAGTACTATCTCTAAAGGAGAAGGAAAAGAATAAGAAAGATTTTAGTGGGTAAGAAAATCCTAATTGCTTGCTCACAATTTTTGTCACAAACATTTTTCACATATCACTTTCAAACAAATATTTTCAAAACACTTTGTACGCATTTCTTGAAGACTGATACAAGAATCATTATAAAGTCAGCCTTACTTTGGCGTTTTCAAAATATTTTCAAAAAAATCACACACATAAAGCAAATTTTTAAAAGTGAGCTAAGCAGTTAAGAGCCTGTAGATAACTACGAATGAAAAGGATGCTAACACCTTCCCTTTTCATAACTTACCCCCCAAACTCAAAATCTATTAAGGTCTTTCCTGTTCTTTTCACCTTTCCTAAATATTGGATAAAATAAAAGTCGATGGCTGTAATACGGTGGGAGAACTGACTTGGTTTGTGTTTTATCGCAAATGTTGCGGATAGCTAGAGTCGCCACCAACTTTTCTTTTATCCATAAGGAAAGGGTGAAAAGAACAGGAAAGACCTTCGAGAATTTTCTGAGTTTGGGGGTAGGTTATGAAAAGGGAAGGTGTTAGCACCCTTTTCATTTGTAGTTATCTCCGGGCTCAATTGCTTAGCTCACTTTGTTTGAAATGCTTTTGTGTATGTGTTTGAAAATATTTTGAAAATGTCTAAGTACGACAAATTTTGTAATGATTCTTGTATCAGTCAAGAACGCGTACAAAGTGTTTGTTTTGAAAATATTTCAGAGAAAACTGATTGTGTGAAAGATGTTTTGAAATGTTCGCGAGAAAGCGATTAAGAACTATCTACCTACTCAAAAGTCTTTCGTGTTATTTTCCTCGTCCTTTAGATAGTGCTATCCTACGATTAGTTGGTAGAAAGCCATATCGTTGGATGTGAAGGGACAAACGCGGATCATCGTACAGTCATAAAGGCAACTTGTAGGGGTTCTTTAGCAATTTATCGTAAGGGACTAGATCATTTACCGAAGGCAGCATCGAAGGGTCATCGAGGGACTATGATCTTTTATTCGAGGGTATTTGCTAAAGCATCCCCACGTTCGAGGGACATGACTGCATTTTTTTCGAAGGCAACAAATGAGGTCACCCTAGAGGTGCAAGTGTGAATAATGATTCAATTCAATTATTTTATCATGTATTTAGGGTTATCTAGCGTCTCGTTTTAGATCTTACCATACAATCTTATTAACTGGACAATTATAAGGAAAGTAGTAAAAACAGAAAATAAAGGTCCTACGCTATTACAAAGCTTCGGGAAAGGGGTACTGTTGTACCCCAAAATTTTCCCTCTCATATTTCTCAATACATGTCAAGTGAGGTCCTCAAATTGCTCAAGGAAGTTCAAGAGTTGACCAGACAAACTCTCTCCTAAGGCAACCTACCTCAAATTAGGGTTTCATTTTTCATCAAGATGCTTGAGTCCAAAGGATCTCAAATGCCTTCCAAATCCCTAATATGTTCTCAAGATCATCCATGTCAAGTTTCAAGCCTTGCAGAAGAAGTTTGCCCAGTCAATTACTCAAAGGCCTAAAATCGACTATGCTAGGTCAAAAGTCAATTGTGGCCCACATACAGTCAAACCTCAAGATTTTTGGTCAACATTGTCATTTTGAAGTATTATTCATCATTTGATCAAGGGTTGATCATGATTCCTCAAGGATTTCTCACAATTCATCAAAACTCAAAAGTTGCTAAATTAGGGTTTTGCAGGAAAAGTTAACTCAACTTTGACAAAGCATAACTTTCTCATACTTTATCATAAATGACCCATACAAAGCTAATTTTGAATAGAATGAAATTCCCTACAATTCATCTTCATCTCAAGTTCAGAATATGCACTCCCAAAAATATATGAATTTTGACATTATAGGTCATTTTGAAAAGTCAACAAAAACACCTTTTGGGTCAAAGCTTCATACATGAACATGGAAGACTCAATTGAGATGAGACAAAAAGGGTTGATTAGGGGACATCCTAATCTTTTTAAAAAGTCCAAGAACACCTCTCTAGGGTCAAAATTGAGATAGTTATGCATTGGCCAAGTTGACCCTTTTTGCAAAATTGCCAAAAGTCAACATTGATCAAATTTGCATTTTTTCCCAAAGGGGCCCATGTTTTCTTGTTTGAGACATGTTTCTAATAGGACCCACGACCCCTGAGCTTTTCCACCTATTATTTTATTATTTTTATCATTTATTTTGATTTTTTATTCATTTAAATCAAAATAAATCAAATTAAATGGTAAAATGATAAAATCAAATCAAATCTTGGATTTTTTGTGCATCTTTTGAGTCTATGTACAGCTAGCAGGATAACCAATTCGTGCAAGATTGATTTGGGTTGAAAAAGATTGGATTGAAGCAAATTTAGAAGGATATCATATGTCATGAAAGACCAAATCAAATCTTCATAATGGGCAAGATTCAGTTCGTTTTTGTTGACCTAATGTGTTGCATTACATATACAGAAGGTATCCAAGGCAAGAGAGAGGGTTAACAGTCGTGCATAGCCAAGAACCAAATTGAAAAAGCCAAGAAAAAGTGGTGATCCAATTTCCATCCTAGAGGCATTCAAGCCATTATCACGATACCAACAGACTCCTGGACATATCCAGAAGGGATTTCAATCAATTGCAAGCTTTCTCATGCCTAGAATCATAAGTACAGAGTCCACGGTTTGTCCCAAAAATTGGATTTCGTTTTCATTGATTTATACATCATTTGCACGTTTGATTCATATATTCTTGTTTATCATTGAGTTTGCAAGCTTTTGGTATTGCTTAATTGCATTTATAGTACAGGAATCAAGA